CCTGGACCTGCTGGGGCTGGACCCCAACAGGATACAAGTAGCATGGGGCCAGACAGAAAGCTTGCGGAGGAAGAGGACCTTTTGGGCAGCGGCCACCCGGAGGAGGGTGATTTAGATTTGGCCAGCGAGTCAACAGCACAAGCTCAGTGGAGCGAGACAGACACCCTGTTAGCGGTAGTGAAAAGGGAGCCCATGGAGCAGACAGGCAGTGACGAGAGGATGGACTGTGAACCTGTAGGGCCAAAGGAGCCAGTTGAGCAGAGTAGTAAAGTCTCAAAGTGCACAGAAGCCTCTAGCCAGGAGGTCGCAGAAGCACCACAGGAAGCCTCAAGCCCAGATCCCAGAGATAGCAAAGAAGATGTGAAGAAGTTTGCTTTTGAAGCTTGTAATGAAGTCCCTCCGGCTCCTAAGGAGTCCTCAGCCAGTGAGGGCGCTGATCAGAAAACGAGTTCTGTCGAAGATGACTCGGATACAAAACGGCTTTCCAAAGAGGACAAAGATCTTAGCAGTTGTAGAAATTTTTGGGTTAGTGGACTTTCTTCCACCACCAGAGCTACAGATTTGAAGAATCTTTTCAGCAAATATGGAAAGGTGGTGGGTGCCAAGGTTGTGACAAATGCTCGGAGTCCTGGAGCTCGCTGCTACGGCTGTGTGACAATGTCCACAGCGGAAGAGGCCACAGAAGGCATTCACCTCCTGCACAAGACTGGGCTCCACGGGAAGATGATCTCAGTGGAAAAGGCAAAAACTGAGCCTGCTGGAAAGAAAACCTCTGACAAAAGAGAAGGTGAAGGGAAAACAGAGAAGTCCAGCACCCGCGACAGATCAGCAAACCTTAAAAGGGGAGATAAAGCTGACAGAAAAGATGCTAAAAAGGGTGAAGATGAAAGTGGAGAAAAGAGTAAAGATCCAGGTGATCAGAAACCTGGCCCTTCAGAGCGATCTCGAACCACAAAATCAGGTAGTCGAGGAACCGAGCGGACTGTAGTAATGGATAAATCTAAAGGTGTGCTTGTTATTAGTTTCAAAATATCGGGATCCAAAGAGAGAGTTTCTAAGAGCCAGGATCGCAAATCAGCCAGCAGAGAGACGCGGTCTGTTGTGTCCTTTGAAAGAGTCAAAAAGCCTCGGAAATCAAGAGACTCTGAGTCCCGCAGGTTGGGTGAGCGCAGTGAGCGGGAGCAGCGCATGCAGGCACTGTGGGAGCAGGAGGCGCGGGAGCAGCTGGAGTATGCCCGAGAGAGGCTGGCCTTCCATCGGCACCGCCTGGGGCGGTTTCCCTATGAGCAGGAACAGCGGCCTGCTGTGCGGAGGCCCTATGATGTGGATGGCTGGCGAGAGGATGCCTATTGGCCCGAAGCCAAGAGAGCTGCCCTGGATGAGCGTTACCATTCTGACTTCAGGCGCTATGACCACAGAGACCGGGGCCGCTACCCTGACCACTCAGTAGACAGGAGAGAAGGTTCAAGGTCAATGATGGGACAAAGAGGAGGACAGCATTATCCTGAGCGCCACGGAGGACCAGAGTGCCATGGACGGGACTCCCACGACAGGTGGGGCGGATATGACTCTGACAAGAGGATGAGCGAGGGCCTGGGACTGCCTCCTCCAACCAGGCATGACTGGGGGGACCACGGCCGAAGAATTGAGGATGACGGTGCATGGCAGGGCGCTACTGATGGAGGCATGCTAGACAGGGACCACACGAGGCGGCGAGGTGGTGAGAGAAGCATGCCTGGTCACTCTGGGCGAGGTCACATAATGAACAGGGGAAGGATGTCAGGGCGTGGCAGCTTTACCCCAGCTGGGGCCTCTCGGGGTCACGTGATCCACGTGCAAGGTGCATTTGCTGGCCAGAACCGGGGCAGCCGACCCAATGACGCTGGCTTCACTCGCCGCTACTAAGTGCTTGGAAATCCTGTGTTCCGTCACGTGGCAACCAGAGTATGTTCTTTTAGGAGTTATCTTAAACTATGTACAATATCTTTTTTTTTTTTAATCTGCTGCCATATTGTAGCTCGATACAATGTGAATTTGTTTTTTGGTGGGGTTTTTTTGTAATAAATGTGTTTCTGTTCACAAAAAAATGCTACAAAAATTTTACATTAAGTAAATCTATAATATTTACTTTGTGAAACAGTTGACTGGCAAACTAAATTTGAATTTTTAAAATTTTCACTCATTTACCAGTATTCATCTATTTATTCATTTAATCCCTCATTCAACGAATATTTACTGAACATGCCTTATGTTCCAGGGATTGTACTAAAACTTTAAAGATTTTTGTCTTCAGGGAATGCACAGTCTGATGTGAAGTCAGGGCTTGTAGAATGATGTCAGTAGAGCATGAGATGGATTATAATAGAATTGAGTGATGGTAAAACAAGGGCATAAAGAGGCAGAGACCCAACTTCCTGTGTGTGGGCGAGGCTTCTATACTGTCACACAGAGGACAGCCCTGTGTCTGCTGCTTCTAAACACAACTCTTTTCCTTCCCTCTTTCTTATATGTCTTTTAAAGCTTTAACCAATGGTGTAGGCTACTGGCAAATTCTATTTTCTTCTTAAAGCCCTTGTCTACATCCCCAACTATGTGATCTCTCCAATGTACTTTTTGCCAATTTTATAACAACTACTTTCTCTGTCGCGTAGCCTGGCCCTCCTGCCCCCCTGCGTGAGGGTGGGAAGGGTTTCTTATCTACCTTGATGCCCCTTTATGATACACCAACAGAAAGTAGGGCTTTGCTCTCACTGGGCCCTCAATAAATATTTGTCTAAATAGGAAAACAGAAACAAAAAAAACTACATGAACTCACTGAGGGAAAAAGAAGCTACAGAAAAATTACTATAATAACATTTTGGTCTCATGACCAAAGCTCATACTACCCTATGAGGTGTCATCACACAACCTCCAGTGGTTAATACTGGCAATGCTTTTCTTGGATGTGACAGGGACTAGTCTGTACATGAAAAATGGTCATATATATGGCCTTTTTGTGGATGCTATTACATTGCCTTTCAAAAATGTTACAATAATTGACAGTTATTTTTTAACTAAAAATTCAATTTGCTACCGTGTAAAATGGAAATATGTAAGTTACCCAGTTAAATATATCTCAGTATAGAACCCCACCATGACTCAGGCCACAGGATGATAATCATCTAGAAGTGGTTGCAAGCCCATACTTTGGAGTCAGACAAATATAGATAATAAATCTTGGTTCTGCACATTCCAGCCGTGGGACCATGAAAAATGAGTTAACTATTCTAAATCCCTATTTCTTTAGATGCTGAAAAGGAATAACAATCCCTACATGTTCAGGTTGTTGAAAGGATAAATGGGAATGTTTATAAAGCACTTACCACAATGCCTGGCACATGGAGTCTGCTGGATACATGGTAACTGTTACTGTTTCTAGTTGGGAGAGATAATTGCTGGAATAATTGCACATTTTGCTTTGTTCTGTGTAGACAGGACTTTCTGTTTGATAAAAGCTGATAGGTCTACAGACCTGATATTGCAGGACACACAGAAAGAATGAAGAAATCCTAGAAGGAAGGGACTGTGTATAATATGGCACAGTCATAAAAACACAGAGTCAGTCCTGACTCTCCTATTAATTAATTGTATGACTTGGGCAAGTGACCTAATGTCTCTACATCAGTTTCCACAACTACAGGTGGAGGGACTATCTATTTCATAAGATAGATCCTGTTGATGGCATTAAATTACATGAGATAATTCATCTGAAGGTCTTAGCATAGAGTCAGAAACATGGTGACAGTTAACAGGTATTATTTGTTCATGGAAGACTCGAGGAGCAAGACAATCTCAAGGATAAAATGCCTAGACTGAATAAAGAGAAAAAGGAAATCATTCCCATGGATCATATGCCTTTCCGCAACACCCTTTAAAAATAGCACATGAAAAACCATTCCAGTGCACAGCGTGGACTATTTCGAAATGCAATTAGAAATGGTTATGCCGTTCACTGCCTGGAGACTAGGCAAGTCATGGGGAGGGAGAGTATAAGGTGAAGGAAAGGTGCTCTTTGGGTCTTGCAAAGTATCACTGAGAGCTTTATCCTCCTCTGCTTGGGATAAGAACCCCTGCAGACACATATTCCAAAGATTCTAATATTTTCTGAGACGCCACTGTGCCTTTATATTTTAATACCCTGACATCTGGAATCCTAAAAGTCTAATGTTTAACCATAAATATCTGCTGAGATTAAAGAGCTATATACCAAGTTTCAATCTTTGGGGCCTATAATTGCTTGGGAAAAGAGAATGGTATTTCCCCCTCTAGCTAGAAGAAAAAGGCCTCGGCGAGCACAGATATTTGCAGACAAATTTCCTAACAACCGTTCCCTCTCTCCACTCTGTCCTCTCATTCCTCCCTCCCTCTCCCTTCTCCCCGTTTTATAATACCATCTTGCTGTCATTCCCAGGACAAATGGGAGGAACGAGAAGCCTAGAAAGCTTAAAGAAGAGACACATTTCAAGTTCTAGCAACAAAAGTAGAGAAAATGCCGGCCACTGTCTGTGAAGCCGCCGAGCCTACGTCTCCGTCTCCACATTACTGAGCTTTCCCATTATCCAGCTGGAAACCTCTTCATCACTCTCCGAGCTGACAGTCAAATGCCAGCTTTATTTTCTTTTTTATCCACCTAATCTTTTATTTTTGATTTGAGGCCAGTCACTTTTAAGGTCTCCACTATGGTTTACAACTTTCTTTCTCAAGAGGCGACCAAGAAAGTAACACAATTTGAAAAATGTTTCTTCCCCTCTCACAGTAAAGAATGAGAAACTCACCTGCCCCGCAGGTCAGACCCGGGCACTTTGCTGGGAAGGACGTCAAGGCAAGTGTGGGAAAAGCTTATCATGAATTTCAGTTTTTAATATAATGATTCAATGTAGAATTAAAAAAATAAACCTAGCATGGTACCCATTTTTATCCAATGATGTGTATGAAAATGGAATTCTGAGGTCACTCAACTCCAATACTAGGAAAAATAATCTATGTTTAAGAAAAGGTTGGTGTTTTGTGTGTGTGTGTGTGTGTGTGTGTGTGTTTGGTTAATGTTCTTTTCCCTTTTGGAAATATACCCAGTGTGTATATAAGCAAGTATGTTTATGTCTGTTGGTATTTGGCACAGAAAGCTATTCTTGATTTTTCATGAGAAATTGAAACTGCCCACTTTTTAAATTAATTAAAAGTATTAATTGTCTTCTTAACATCCAGCCTATTATTGCAAAGGCAGCCTATAACTCTATAGTAGTGATTCTGAAACCTTCTCACAGTGGAATCACTTGGGGAGGGTGTGTGTGTGTGTGTGTGTGTGTGTGTGTGTGTGTGAGTGAGAGTGCGCGCACCGCGCAAACACAAAGGCTTGGGCCTCACAAACACCTATTCACTCAAAACCCCCTCAACATAGGCATGAATGTTTAATGTCCTAGGTGATAAGCCAGCTTTGTAGACACTTTCCTTAGGACATGAAATGCATCTCCTAAACTGGAGAAAGTTTGGCAGAAGAACAGGGGTTTTGGGTTTGGTTTTGTTTGTTTGTTTTAAAATTTCCAGTCCTTTGTGGACCAATACTTTTAAAAATACAGTATAACTTATCAGACAAATTAGACATACAAAATAAAAACCCAAGATTTATTTTTTACATTCAACAGATATAAAACTACTGTCAGATTGCTGTATTTCTAAGTGACCTAAGTGACAGCTTTCTGTAATTATCTCCCTGTGAACCGGTGCAAGAGTTCATGAGCCAGCACAGGACCACGCATTGGGTAATGCAATTCTTGGGCCACTATCTGTGAAGCCGCAGAGCCTACAACTCCGCCAGCTTCCTTAACTTCAGCTTCCTCATGCACTGCCTGCTCCCACCCATTATCCATTCACTCCACAGCACCTTGTCGTGTCTTTTCAAAGAGTGAATAAAATCCTATGACCATCTTTCTTAAAACCCTCCATCACCATCTTATTAAAGGACTCTGCCTAGCTCCTAGCTAGCTCCAATTGTTCTCCTTTCCATTCACTACTTACCAGTGGCACCGATCTCCTTCCCACCCCACCCCTTCCAACACATTGAGGCTATTCACGTCAAGTGTCCTGGTCCTTCTCCCTAGAAGGCCCCTCCCTCTGCTCAGAGCAGTGTGACTCCTCACTCCTCATTCAGGCTCATTGGAAATGTAACTCTATTTCAAATAGCAACTTCCTTATACACACACACACACACACACACACACACACACACACACCTCAATCTACCTCTCTAACCCTATTTCACTTTTTTATAACTCTCATCACTATTGGAATACTTTCATTTATTTGCTCATAAGTTTATTCGAACCTAAGTTTGATGAAAGCAGGAACGTTGCCTCGTTCACAACGACAGCTCCATCCTTACAAAGGTGCAGGCAGAGTGGTCAACATGCATTCGCTGAATAAATGAAAATGCCGGCTTCAGTGCTTAGCACACTAAACACGCTCAGTTCATCTCCCTCTACCATCCTCATCACGTCTGAGAAATTGTCAAATGCCATAGAAACTAAAGCCCGGACTTTTTTTTTTTCAGTTCAGTGTGCCACATGTATGAACCGGTCTGAGAGGTGATGTCTATTTGTTGCCTGAGACTGATAGGAAATGAGTGAGAAGCAAAGTGGAAAGCTTTGATATCTATCTCGTCTTACCTAAATGGGATGTGAATTTCAAGACTTTGTTTTTCTAAATGATTTTGGATTTTCAGATGATCGGATGCCTCCATAATAAAACTAAATCCTTTCTGGAATAAAATGCAAATGGTTCTCAGAGGATCTGCTTGGGATTAGCTGCCTTGCACTCTTTGTCACGCATGTTTCAAAGTTGGCTGCAAATGCTAACTTACAGATAAGTACAAACCAAAATTAGCAGCTCACTTTCCCCTGGCTACACACCCTGCATTGCACAGATAAAAAGCCCACTGGCACAGCATTCCTCAGAGCTGACCCACATGGGTAATTTTTGCTCCTGATGCTGGAGAATATGACAATATGAGGGACCTGTGGCTATCTGTCTGAGTGGGTAGTTTTGCAATGTGAACTTATATGTGCAAATAAAATCTGTGTGTGTGTGTTTTTGTTTTTTTCAAATTAAAACTAAACATCCAAGGCAATGGATTTCAAGCTGCCAATAAAACTGAGAAAGGCAGTGCATGTGGAATAAAAGTGAGCACTGGTTCCCATGGCCCTCATTTTCATCTTTGCTGCACTGCTCTTGCTGTTTTATAGAAGATCATAAAACAAGTATTTGTCTTGAAAGAGGAAAATACAAAATAGATGCTGCACTGCTCTTGCTGTTTTATAGAAGATCATGAATGCTTGTCTTGAAAGAGGAAAATACAAAATAGATATTCATGCTCTTGAGATTAACTTTGTACTTTTCTCATCCATCAGATTATGAACAGAAAAGCAACATAGTAGAGAATGGTTTAAAAAATAAAAATGGACTTTAATTAGGGAAGAAGGGGTTTCTTCCTATTTGGGAGTCGAAGGAAAACATTACATTCTGTTCGCTCGCGGAAGGCACCGCTTACTATAGACTCTCCTTCCTTACAAGAGGACACAGATTTTATTTTTAGTAAAGTAAACAGCAGATTCTACTGTGGGAATCCACGCAGTTGGAACCTATAGCAACCTCATTTAAAATGTTATAAGGCTTTAAACATCAGGAGGTTAAGGTAGTCAGTCATATACCTTCCCCTACACATTCAGCCACCCACACACATGCTCATGCTTGTCCACACATTGATAGTAAATGGTATGCAATAGTACAATGCATGCTGGAGTTTTACCATCATTGAATCGTGTTTCACATCCAACACGGAGACTGATGGAAATAAAACACACAGCATTGCAACCAGGAGCAAGAGCATGTTGGTGCCTAAATAGTGTAGTTACATCACAAGGTTAGCAACTACCTAAGATTTCATCAAAGAAAATTATTATTCACACATGGAGAATTGGACAGATATTTAAGAGCTACACCCAAAAGGCTTTGGCACTCACCTTCACAGACAAAAGACCGCTGCTATAAAGCAATGGCTCCCTTTTGAGAAGGGACTTTTCTGGCCATGGGAAAGAGCACAATTGGCCTGTGTTCAGCGAAAGCCAGAGGACTAGGGAGTTAATGACCCCAATAGCACCCCTCAGCCAGAAATAAGTAGAGATTTGAGGTATAACTACCTTAGCTTCGTCAGGACTTAAGCTGGGATGCTTTGGGTCATGTTCCCTTGGTCTCCTGAAGTTCCCCGCCAAACTTGAGCTCCAGCTGTCCAGAGTGGTAACCAGTTTGACAACACATCTCTGAATGACCTCAGTCCTTTCCCTGGATCATTTCCCCCTTCCCTGCTTGCCTGACTTCACCCCCATGTAAACCACTTGGATTCTAAGTCTTGTAGCAGGGTCTGCTTCAGTCCTCATTCTTCTGTGAAATTTAATTTTCACTAAATACTCTGGAACGTGTATCCCTTGATACTGATTTCACAGAAAGGGGCTCCTCACCAAAACCTACAAGTTTAGGAAAAACTCACAATGATGCATGTACTTATTTTAAAGTATAAGAATGTTTTCTCAATTGCATAACAACTGTCACAGGGGGATGATTTTAAAACTAATAAGACAACTTACTACAGAAGCTATTTGAAGCTCTGGCCAGGTAGCTCAGTTGTCTGGAGCATCATCCCAAATGCCAAAGTTTGGGTTCGATCCCTGGTCAGGACACATACAAGAAGCAACCAATGAATACCTAAATAAGTGGAACAGCAAATCTCTCTCTCTCTCTCTCTCTCTCTCTCTCAAATCAATAAATTATTTTGTTAAGAAAGCTATTTGAATAGGACTAGTGGTAAATGGGAAACTAGCTTCCTATCTTTTTTCCCATTTACTATTCTACACATATTTTCTCAATATGGATGGTTTCCCTGAATTTCATTCTTCTGTGCAATATGTATTTGCTGGTTATATTCAACAGATATAACCAACATATCAAAATGAATATTTACTCAGCATGCTTCATGCACTCAGTAATGACTTTCTAAATCCTACACTATAATCCTCACAGCTTTTCACTCTGCTGCAAAGATAAGCCTTCAACCTATGAAAATTTTTGAGAAAACTATTAAACAGTGTTGAGACATGACAGTGCACGGTAATTAATGACTTATGTAAAACTTTTCTAAAAGGCAAGTGCTATAAAGTGGTAGTAGTTCAAATGGAAGAAAAGTGAAAACAAGTAAAGAGATACCTGGACACTTCTTGGTTCCAGGATTCTATATTATACATAAATCCGTAAACCAATGACCTGAAGGCCTCAGTTTCTTCTGTATGTTCTTAAATGATATGGGGAAAACAGCATTAATAGTCTCCTTGGTTATCAATAATTCATTCACTTGATCAGTTCATCAACTGACATTTGTTGAGCATCTCCCCCAATATGTAATAGTAAACAGAACAAAATTCTTGCCCTCATGAAGTTTGTACTCCAAAATGGCAAAAAGTAAATCCACAAGTAGGCAGGTATATTTATAATATAATTTCAAGTAATGGGACTCTGACAAAAAACAAGTAGGGCTAGAGAATAATGGAGGAACATTTGTTTTTGATAGGGTGGTCAGAGATGGCTTCTCTGTGGTGTTATCATTTGAAAGGAAGGAGCCAGCTCGGCAAAGAAGTGAGAACAGGATTTTTCTGGCACAATAGCCAATGCAAAGGCCCTGAGGTAGGTATAAGTTTACCATGTGAAAGAAAAAACAAGACAGTGATAAGTAAAAAGGATGTCACAGAAAGTGAAGTGAGAGGGACAGGCAGGAGCCAGATACTACACAGCTTGTAGTGTGGATTTCATTCTGAGGGGGATAGAAAAAACATTGGAAAGTTGAAAGATCTTTCTGGCTATCATTGACAAAAAGACCTGTATAGGGTACAGGCGCATAAGAAAGAAGACCAGTTAGAAGGTTATTCCCTTGTCAGGTGGGAGATGATGATGGTTAGAAGTAGGAGAATTTGGGTTCTGAAAAAAAAAGAATAAATGATTGCTTCTGGATAGTTTACTTAATTCACAAAAAAAAAAAGAATAAATGATTGTTTCTGGATAGTTTACTTAATTCGCCTCATAAATGATGGTACCAATTACTGAAGTAGAGTTAGCTAGGCAAGAAGCAGGACATGGATGGGGCAGAGATGAAGAGTCCCATTTAGGGCATGTTAAGTCTGAGATATCAGTTAATCTTTTCAATGGAGTTGGATACACCAGACTAAAGTCCAGGATTGAGTCTGGCTGGAGATATAAATTGGAAGTCTTCAGCACTAAGTGGTATTTCAACCTTGGGCTTAATGATTAGGAAGAGAAAATAAAACAGATCTGAGGATATAGTTCTGGAACATTCACACATTCAGAAATTTAAAAAGGGAAGAAAGACTAGAAGTCTGAAGCATCAACCACTGAAGCAGGAAGGAAAAAAAAAACACAGGGAAAATTTTTTAGATTTACCTGCAGCAGGTTCCACCTGAACTGAAAAGAAAACTCAGTCTCATTGTTTGTGGCAGTAAGGAGGGCAATGATCTCTCTAGGGGTCCAGCTATAAAAACTGGTAGGTAAATGGGTTTTGCTTGTATAAGCAAGAAGAAGAAGGAATTTTGATCACAGCTTGGCCTCCCTCCCCCAACACCCCCCGCCAACACACACACACACACACACACACACACACACACACCTCCCAGGGACAATTACAAAAATAGAGAAAAAGAAGGCAAACTGCATGCCATCTACTCCACCACCCTCTCCAGATTGAGAGCCCTTAAGTTCTGGTGATAGAGAAAGATACAGTCAGAAACCAGAGTTGCTGGTTCTGTGGCCGACACTGCAAAGCTCTGAGCACTGAGGACGATGCTTCAGGCCCAGGTGACCAAGCTAGTGAGAGTATTGTTCTCACCTGTGCACAGAGTTGGTGTTGGGAATCTGTACCTTTGACATAGGTACACCTTTGGCAACATCATGGAGGCCACACAGTGATCACATCTCTTAGTCACTCAACATTCCTTTACTACAGGTGAGTTGAGCAGCATATTAGCACAGGCTCCAACTCCAGAATTCATTTCCTCTCCAGGAGATTTGGTTTCCTGACTAGAGTCAGCAAATTGCAGCTCACAAGCTACATGCGGCTTTTTGGTCCCTTGAGTGTGGCTCTTCCTAAGCCTCAGGAGTACCCTAATTAAGTTAATAACAATGTACCTACCTATATAGTTTAAGAAATTTGGCTCTCAGAAGAAATTTCAATCGTTGTACTGTTGATTTTTGGCTCTGTTGACTAATGAGTTTGCCGACCACTGTCAGTAGACAACACAGCCAAACCAGCTCTTTCATGCATGCGCCCCCTACTGGGGGCATCGAGTTCCTTTATAACCAACCTGTGTTGAAGAAGGATCCAGTCCATTCTGCCTCAGTTTTAGGAAACACAGAAACCGGTGGAGGTAGACCCAGGGCTCTCCCATCGAGATCCTTAAAGAGATATTTTTTTGGACTTTCACAAACGGATTCAGGGCAGACCAGTGTTCCTAAATCTTCCCTGTAAAGACAGACAGAAAGCAACTCTCATTTCATGAGCAACAAAAACGAAAATATATTTAAATTACTGATCTGATGAAAAAGGAATTTATTAGTAGTAATGTGTTACATAGATATTAAATAAAACTCTATAGAAAATATTACTTCTCAGTTATATGGTCAAGAAGAAAGGCATTATTATTATCCAAATACTCTGGATATGTCATCTTTACATAGATTGTAATTTTCTAAGCAGTAAGATACAATAAAATACTCCTAGTTTTAATACCTACTGAAAATAATGTAAGCATTTTTTATGGAACTTTGGTACCTTGAAGTATTATTAGATTATCATTATAAATCTCAATTATATTTATGCCGTATGCAAACAAGGTAAAAATAGATATTCTCATTTAACAAATATCTATTGAAAATCTACCACTTACAGGTTGGGGGGGTATAATGGTGATAAATACAGGCATGGTTCCTATACTTTCAGAATTTAGAGTCATATAACCTTAGGAGGTTATATAAACAAATAGTAGACCATTATAACACTGAAATTTAGAAAACTTGTTTTATCTATCCTGGTCTAATACTTTTCAGTACCATCAGTACTAGTGTCAAATATTTTGCCTGCTAACCATGTGTTAAGTATTAACAGTACAAAGAATCAGATGCTACTATTATTAAGCTTTATAATTCTTTCATCCTATAGGTTTACATGAACATAAGGAAAATTGTACAACAGAAGAAAAATGACAAGACAACCCAAATTACATACCTAATGTTTAGGTACCAAAAGTAGCTCAGGAATGGGCATCTTAAAGAGACAGATATTGGGCCAAAAACATAAACTTTCCAATTAGGGTGATTTTTCTTGATTCTTGTCTTCCAACTATAGGAGTTTATCCCAATGTTATGGGGAAGAAAAGTAGCCCATTTTCCCTGATCCCGATTTTCCTGCTCCCTTTTATGGCAAAAATAGTGCCTTATCGAGTTTTCAGATTCCTGAACGAAACTCTCAGATCATATGGTCCAGAATAGTGGTTACACCTGGTCTGAGCACCAGTATCTATCTAAGCCACATTATTCAACTCAGGGGTTCTTGTCATCCGACATGATTTCCTTCTCCCCACCAGTCCCTGCCCAAGGGCTCCTAAGGTTCCTTCTGAAGACTGGTGACACCATGCTCTATAGAATATATAAGAATTAGGGAACATTTTTTCCAGTGATTGAAACTATCCCAAAGAAATATCTCTAATAAAGACAAAACAATATCAATGACAATTGCCCTGCATCACGTCTACACCTTTTATTATCCAGAGAAAGTCACATGGCTAAACCCAGATTCAAGAGAGAGAAACAACCTCTGCTCTTTGGTGAGAGACACTGCAAAAACCATGTAGCAAAGCACTTGGACATGGGAGGCGTAAAGAATGGGGGGCATACAATTCATCTAGCATACTTTTCAGAAGGGCTTCTTTTTATTTCCATTAATGATTTTATACTTCATGGATACGGCTTGTAAATACTAAAACTGGTACCTGGTTTGTAAAGGAGGAAAGTAGAACTTGTTTTTATCTTTGATCTTTAGCATTTTGGTCCTCTCTGCTGTTATGGGATGAATGATTCCAGTGTTCTCTGCATTGGGCAGAATGCATACATCTAGGTCATTGCTATAGCAACTCTTCACAAAACTAGAAAAAGTGACATCTGAAAAAAAATTGTAAGCATATCATGGCATTAGATCACGTAAACTACAAACCGCAAATATAGACTACGCAACTAAACAATCTTTGCTACTGTTTGGCCAGAAGTTCATTTAAGCTGTCCAGGCTAGCTCTAGGAGTTTACTTAAATATCTGTTAATTCTTCAAGACATGAGTATCCTTTTCAAAATAGAAGTAGTCCAACACATCAATGTCTTCAGAATGATATGTTTTATCATAGGTTTGATAAAATCCAATGGGGAGTGAGTACAATATTACAAAAGAGATCTAATAGAATATTAACTGCATAGGTAGTGATATAATTTGATTTTATTCCTGGCTACACCACCAATTAGTAAACAACTTCAGTGAGACACAATTTCTGCATCTATATTTATTCCTTTCTATAATAGGGAAAATAACACCTACCTAAGAGAATTTTCATATAATCAAATTCAATAATTGCTGTGAAAGTTCTTCAACATGTTTAAAGCAGTAACTTTTTAAAGGAATCACTCACTGCTATTATCAACCATCAGTGTGGTTATCAATACGCAGCAGGTGGTCAATGGTGCAACAAGCACTAGACTACACAGTACTCTTTTGTTGATATAATTTCAGAATGCTCTTAAAAATTCTGTGCACAGAGATATGAAACTACATTATTTGGATAAGCCCAAACATCCTACCTTGAAGCTTCATGATTCCTGAAACTGAACGGCCATTTCTCACTTTGTGCCATGGTTCCTGAGGCCACCGATTTGGTTCTGAGGTGAACACTGGCCACAGAATACCAACTCGACCCCCTCTGGGGTTGGAAGGAGCTCGGTCCATTAATGTCCAGTTGGCAGAGCCAGGCTTAACCCTGTCCTGAATGCAGTCAAAAGAGGAGCTAGTGGCCACAATGACTGAATTCCTAAGCACAATCTGCACATTTTCGATTGAAGGCTGTGAAGCAGAAGACACATATACTATCACCAGAAGACCGATAGCGTTGTCCACCAGAGTGACATTCTCTATCTCCATGCTGTTCTCCACATGTAGCATGGCACCGTAGTCAAAGTTCTTGAAAGCCAAAAAGCCAGAGATTCTAGTACAGTTGCCAAGTCCACTTTCCTTATAGAGATGAAGACCGTGAAGGCTTGAGTGGGCCACATTGTCAGACCAGAGAGCTTCAAGAGGGGAACACCTCTGGCCTCGGATGTGAAAGCCAAGTCTCTCCGATCCTGCCACGACATTACCACGGAGGCTGATGTCCTTTGCCTGGTTCACTTTGATGCCTGCCACCCAAACGGTAGACCACACTGGCTGTGTCATCAGAACCACAAGGTTATTAGAGAGAGAATAGGCCTGACCCTCCAAATCAATGCCGTGACCAACGGTGCTAAACACTATGTTGTCATTTAAAATGATCCCATGACTGGCAACTGCGCGAATGCCCCCACCGCAGCTGTGGTGCAGAGCAGAAGATATTATCCAGGATCCTGCCGACACATGCATGAATTCAATGGATGAAAACAATGCTGAGCCAAAGTTCTGAATTTCTACATTTAAAAGTTGAAGGACACCTGTAAACAAAATGCATATCATCAGGTACCTTTTCTTCCCCACGAAAGGCAGAAGGATGGTCCATTTATGGACACCAGAATATGCAGATTTTTCACTGAAATATAATCATTTCTTCTCAGCACCAGCACAGTATTTTATGCCAGTGAGTTTCACTAACAAAATATGAATCTTTAGAAGGTGACATTAATGCCTAAAAAGGTTTTGTGTGCAGACTGGAGAGTCTGGTGATAGGACAGAGAACAAGGAAAGGAAAGATAGAGAAAGGAGATGGGCACACGTAGCTTAAAGACTCCAGACATCTGCCTTCAGGACTGGGTCAGGAACTGGTTAAGAACGAGTGGAATATGGATTCCTAGGACTCACCTCAGAATTCTGTCTCCCTCTGTGTCTCAGTGACCCCCATGTGAAAAGGTCATAGCCATCCCCACAAAGATATTGTATGGAAAAAAAAAATAATGGCTAACTCTATCAATATTTTAAATATTTCTTAAGAGTATGAGATAAGTGAAAATTTTTGAACATATATTTCTGTTCAATATATGCCCAAAACATGATATTTAATAATGTCTCTTGATTAAGACATGGAGGAAATAACATATTTTTAAAATCATTTTCAAATTCTGTACTAGTAAAATTCTGTATGTTTATTTTAGTCACACTATATTATTTTTTAATTTTCATAATAATTAGTGTTTTTAATGTCATATGTGCATAATTATAATTCACAGTTTTAAATTCCACAAGTCTGAAAATTAATTCATAGTACACATTTAAAATTTCTTACTCATTTCAACAGAGAATTTAGGAGTGATTTTGTTCACAACTATTTTCCCATTGAAAAGTCACAATTCTGAGTGCAAATTGCTGGATATGTCTCATCAGAAGCAGGAGACTGGCAGAGGTCTCCAGTTGAAAAGAAGGAGTTATAAGTTCTGGTCTGCTTTTCTGCCCTATAACCATTGAATGCCCATGGATGGCACCCTTGACCAACACCTGCAGATCCCACCCAATCCAGATGCTGGAGTTTGTTACAGAAAAATGTTAAGGGTTTTTTTAAACATGTATTTAACACAGTTAATCCTTATAACAACCCTGTGAAGTTTCCATCATTATTCTTGTTTTGCAGTTAGAGTGAGACCCAGAAGAATTTAGCAATTTATCTTAATTTACATAGTTAATCACAAGTCAGGATTCAAACATGAAAAGTTTGGCTCCGGAATCTATGCATTTATCCACCCCTGTGAATACCCTTGCTTTACTGATGATGAGACTGAGGCTCACGGGGACTAAGAAACGTGTTCACAATTACACAGCTAGCAAATGGTGGAGCCAGATTTTGATCCCAACCACCTGGATTTCCCAGCCACGTTACCACCAGTCCAGCTGTGAGTTCAATCCTGAAGCGGCCAAACAGACTTTAGACAGCTCCCCCTCACTCAGAGCCAAGGACAAAAGGGAAGCAATTGATAGTTTACAAACAGACTCACCCACCAAAGTTGTGACAAGCAAAAATGTCTCCAGATATGGACAAATGTCCTTGGGTGTGAGGAGAAGCAAACTCACCTGTGTTGACAACTAATGGAGTGAGAGCTTATGGAGAGAAAGCTTGTTCTATGGACCAGAAATCCCGAACTGTGATGTAAGGTGTAAACACGGCTCTTTATCATACTGGTGAAACAGATGTGCCAGCGAAAAGTGTTCCATGCTCAGTATCTTTGGGCAGTGGTTAGAACCTCTATTCCAGACTTTCTCAGAGCCTATATTGTAGTCGTGTACACAGTGACTTTCTAAGATGGAGCTACAGTGATAGCCTCTCCCAAATTTATTTGACTATGGAACAATGTTGGAATAATATTTAAGGAATACAAGTTGAAGAAATAAAGTGCTAATTGAATAATTCTGCAGCATTCCAAGAGCTAAAACTTGAAAGAAATGAGAGAGAATGAACTGATCCTTAAAGCAGTCTGCAATATGGAAATCACTTTTATTTAAATTTACGCTATTGCTTTATAGCATGAGCTGAGGCCTGCCATCAGATATTGCATGCTACTGGGAAAGAATTATAGAAATTCAGGAAAGAGATAAAACTCAAGTGGTCATTAAATCATCCATAATTTCAAAGCAGAGGAAATTTCACATCTGCTGAAGATGTTTTCTTTGAGGTAAAAATGTGCATATGTGCCTATCGCTAGTATATTATTTTAACATCACACTGATAATTAAGCACAGATTAGAACTGAAAATGCATAGCTACTCAGAGCACAGAGGAGCCATCTAATTTGTACATTTTGTTATATAAAGGACAATTCTCTGTACGTCCCAGAAGAATAGGCTCCAATTGGCAATGCCACTTAAAATTCCGTTTACCTGAAAATTCTTCTCTGCTGGACTTCCTGAAGGACCCCACCAGCAGTCTCCCCCTACACAAAGTATCAGACTGGATTTGTATATTTCGGGTCAAAAGTCCAACCGCAGCAGCCAAACGAATGGATGGGCCATCCTCCAGGACGTGTACGCTTCCTGGGGCAAAAGGAGTTGAAGAAGAAACACCTTTACAAAGCAACTTGAGGAATCACCAGCCTGGGACCCAGGGAATCCGCCAAATGAAAACTCCCCTTTCCCCTCGGAAGGCCTACCCGCATCCAGGCCCGCTTTTCCTCGGGCATCTCCACATGTGTCAGCTGAGAAATGAAAAGCCCAGTTACTTGTGTCTCTCTGGGATTAGAGTGAAAGTGGTTGAGCAAGAATTCATTTCTCCTCCATAACTGTGGCTACTAGGACAGGTTACTGTGCAGGGACAGCAGGGCAGACCTGTCCAATTAGTGGGGTCCCCATCCTCCTTCCTTAATTGCATCAGTGTGAGACTCAGTGTTTGGTTGGACATTGTCTGTGGACTTTTTTCATGAGAGTGAGGAATCCCAGAGCAACTGAGGCAGTGACAGAACTAAAGCAGCGATGTGTGTGAGTGAAGGGACCAAGGGCAGCAGCAGCGTCCTCCCACAGTGGGTCTCAAGCTCCCTGCTGCCTAAGGAGCTTCCTCAGCAGTGGGAGCCGAACAGCCAAGGGCTGGTTTCCGTCACTGCCCTCCACATGGAGCCCTTTACTGACCAGGATCGCTGAAGATTTCTTCTTTGGCCACTTTTTAAAAACAGAAATCATCCTTGGAACTACGATTTATATATAGTCCTGGTGAAAACATGTATTTCCCTCTCACAAATCACAGACAAAAAGATATTCTCTAACCCCTCTATTTCCATGTTTTATGACTTATTCGCTGTATCTTCTGTGTTAGATTAGTTTATTCCACAGAAGCAGGAAATGTATGGTTATGTTATTTATTATATATATATACTTAACTGTATAGTATATAAAAATATTCAGCATATTTTTGAGAAAAGGCATTTGAATATTTTTTGGTAGCAGTAGTAGTCAACACATAATATGAACTTTTTGTCAGGAGGGGTACATTCCTCATTATGAAAAAGAAGTCATTATCCTATCTAATAAAGAGGGAATATGCTAATTGACCCTCATGCCATTGCAAAGATGGCAGTGCCCACAGCCAATAAGGAGGGAATATGCTAATTGACTGCCATGCCCTCAAAGATGGTGGCGCCCACAGCCACAAGATGGCAGCGCCCAGTCCCTTCAGCCCCGCCCTATGCCTGCCTCCAGAGCCCCTCAGTCCCATCAGCCCCCCAGCTGCCCAGGGCCGCGTGAAGCTCAGGTAACCAGGGTCAGCCAAGGCTTACACTGCCTGCAGTGGCAGCAGCAGAGGTGTGATGGGGGTGTCACCTTCCCCTTATCACCAGGTCACCTCCTGCCCCTGAGGGCTCCCGGACTGTGAGAGAGGGCAGGCCGAGCTGAGGGACCCCTCTCCAGTGCATGAATTTTCATGCACTGGGCCTCTAGTTTACAATAACTACCACCTTCTAAGTAACTGTGTAATTCAGAGTGCCAGGAAATGAACTGGAAACTCAGTTCCCATGAGATTTATTCTGGCCTAGACATGAAAATGTCCAGTGACCTTGAACAAGAGCTATAACCCTTCTGCTTGCTTCTAGACTTGCCATTATAAGTAAAAGTTTTAAAAATTCGCTCACATCCAAGTATTTTTAATTCGGCAATAAAATGAATGAAGGGATAGAGATAAGCCTTCTAGGAGGAGTCTAGGCAGCAGTAAAGCACTGTCCCTCTCCTCTGGATGGTGATGGGATCCAAGGCCCCAGGCAGAACATGCTTCTTTCCGGCTCGTTCACCTCCCTTAACCAGCAAAGCAAACCTTACCAATGTGCCGGTGCTTGAGCCGCTCCTGGATCCGAACATGGTGGCCCTTAACTTCTTTCACAGTGAGGACCTCTGCTTCGTGAGGCTCATAGGAAGAGGACCCAAGCACAATTTTGTCATGGGGTCGCCAATCCACGGCGTCCTCTACTATAATCCTGTAACAGCATAGGGATGTATCAAGTATCTGGCACCGCAACACAGATCACCTACCTGACTCCAGATCGCAAAGGAAACGCACTACAGCCAACAATTCCAGGGAAATTAAAGAAGAAATTCCAAGTCAAGACAGAAACAAATGGCTTTTGCAAAAAGTTTAATGCTAATGGAGCCGATCATCTGGCTTACATGTATACATGTTAAAAATATGACGTCTATATATCATTTCCTAAAATGAAAATCTTCCTCCTCAATTGGCAAGAGTTAAATCATAAAGGTACTTCAGAAGGAATTATTTCTTAAATTTTCTGAAGACTGGCAATACAATTTTGAGACAGTTTATTATCATTCATTAAGGCTCATACCTGTATGGTCAGACAGATACAGTATGAATCCTAGAGGTGCCACTTACTAGCTGTGTGATTTTGAGAAGTCACTTAAACTTTTCTGAGTGTCCTATCTTCATTTGACAAGTGGCAATTATTTAAATCTTCCCCCCAACATCCCAATGTTACTGTGGGGATAAAAGTATACATGCCTCCACTGTGCTATGTTCTAAATATTGTTTGCACACATATGAAACTATAAGGGTTTTGTTCATTTTTGTTTGTTTGTTTATTTGTTTGTTTGTTTTACTTCACAGTTAATAAAATTTCTGTTCTGTCTTTAACTGCCGCGTAAGTTTTCCTAGTGAATATATTTGTGTTTTATTCTCAATTCACAATCATTACTAACTTCAATGGAATATGTTTATTTTAATTACCTGCCTCTTTTGTCAATGTCTACATTTTAGCAAGTTTTGACAATGGATTCTCCTCTACCAGTTAAACGTTCATCCAGGTAACAGGTCTATGTGACAGCCATTCAATCATGCAATATATATTGATTGAGCAACTGGTTTGCACCAGACACTACAGTAGGTGCTAGAAACATAATGGTAAATAAAACATGGCATTGCATTAAAACTTAGATTTTGACCAGTAAACATCCTTAAAAAAGCTCCCGTGTAAGTGGGAAATTCACAGATGTCTAGCATATAGTATCAACACCAAAAGCAGAAAGAAGTTTAAAAAGGTCATCTGTGGGCCAAAGATGGTAATTAATTCAAATCTGTGTTCTTGAGGTTAGAGAAAGAGAAAACGAGAGTCGGAGAGAGAAAAGAAGACTTGTCAATTGATGTAATTTTAATGAAAGAATTTAGTGTTACCTTTGTTCTTACTTTGCTATGACATCCTAGAAAACTCACAGTTACAGAATACTAGAATAACTACTAACTTTTAAAGGCAAGGAAACCAATATCCAGAGAGATTAAATAACAAAACTCAAGAATAAATCAATGAATGCAGTTAGAGGTTGAATTAAGACAAAAGGAAGACTCCTGATCAGGGGAAAATACTTTCATTAAATAACATCAGCCACCTGTCTGACTCTTAGTTCTCCACCTGCTAAAGAAAAGACAATACTTCCACATTCTGTAATGATATCATGATAATCCCTGAAATTATGAAAAATCTATAACCCATACAGTGTAAAAAGTACAGTGCAGCAAAACAATGAATTACAAGGGATTCTGCTCATTACATGTTGATTGATAAAAGCAGGATATAAAACAATATACACCATTTATTTTTAACAAAAATAACACATGCACAGAAAACAGAAGACAGGAAAGATGCTCATTGAAATGTTAGTTCACTTATGGATAATGGGTTTATTAGTACTTTTCATTTAAATATAAATTTTCCAACTTACCAGGTAATATATTGTAGTAAAATATATTTTTTTAAAGAAAAGAAAGCTATGGGTTTAAAGTAACACCAAAATCAAATTAGCAGTATAATTCAAATCAATCCTTTACTTCAGTAGTATCAAGATAATATTTTTTGTTGTTAATCCTCAACTGAGGATATTTTTCTGTTGATTTTTAGAGAGAGTGGAAAGGGGGGGGAGGGAGAGAAACATTGATGTGAGAGAGACACATCAATTGGTTACCTCCCACACCGCCCCAACCAGAGCCAGGGATCGAGTCTGCAACTGAGGTACATGTCCTTGACTGAAATTGAACCCAGTACCCTTCAGTCCACAGGTCAACACTCTCTCCACTGAACCAAACCAGCTAACAGTGATGGCGTACCCATGACATGCATGTCAGAGGTGACACGTGAACTCATTTTTTTGGTTGATTTTTCTTTGTTCAATAGCATTTAAATATATAAAATAAATATCAAAAATATAAGTCTTTGTTTTACTATGGTTGCAAATATCAGAAATTACTATATGTGACACAGCACCAGAGTTAAGTTAGGGTTTTTCAAAATGCTGACACGCCGAGCTCAAAAGGTTCGCCATCACTGAGCTAGGACAAGATAATATTGTTAATACTGTTTATATTGCTGAAGAAAGTTTTTTTAGACACTAGGTCAGTATAATGTTCCAAAAGGTCCTTGTGAATATTAGATTAATATTCAATCTAATATTAGATTAAAAGGAGACATATGTAATACTCTTTGTAATACTTTAAGCAATAAAAAATATTAGAATATTAGATTAAAAGTCAATTTATTGAAGCATCGTCGTCAAGGTTGTGGGTCCCACCCCCAGTTAGGGCACATGTAAGAATCAACCAATGAATGCATAAACAACAAATTAATGTAGTACAAGTACTGATGTTTCTTTCTCTCTCCTTCCCTTCCTCTTTTCCTCTGAAAATCAAAAAAATAAATGCATTCCCTATGAAGCACAGGGGATTTTTAAAAAATGCATTCCCTATGAAGCACAGGGGATTTTTAGGGCTGTGAAACTATTCTGTATGATTCTATAAAGGATAGATACATGTCATTATACATGTGTCAAAATACATAGAATATATGACCTGAAAAGAAATCTTTAATGTAATATAAAAAATAATTAACACCTCGTCCCCTAACTTTCTTACATAAATCCTCTGCTCCAGCCAAGGGAATCTGCTTACTCTCACACACACAAAAAAATTGTTATACGTTTCTCAGCTTTCACACAAATTATCATCATCTGTACTCTGCCCTCCAGTCTATTCATTCTTAAAAACTGACTGAAATTCCTTTGCTTTCAAGAAGTCATCCCATGAGAGTCTCTTCTCCACTGAATGCCCAATCCCTGTTTCTCTTCCAACATAAATTTCACATAATAATAGATATTACTGCCCTGTAACTGATTTTGTACTCATGTCTTCTGTGGCTATTCAACTTTGATATTAATATTTAATGAAATGCTACGTAAACGCCACAGTGCCTAGTTCTAGGGAA